CCCTTCCAACCTTAATGATTCTGTGATTTATCCAATTAATTTTGAGTTTTACTTGAGTTTTTGAGTTTTACTTGCCTAAGTAAGTCTGTAAGTTGGTGTCGTGTCTTTTTGCTGATGAGAGTAGGCTGTGAATGTGCACAGTTATCTATGGAGGGTTGGTTTTTTTGTAGATATGTTTTCCCATTCAGGTATGGTGAGTATTTTATGGACTTCCAAGCACATGTTATTCCTTATTGTTTGAACATAAAGTCAAGAGTATGTGGCCAACTGGCCAACTCTCTTGACATTTCACTGTTAGTCTGAGTGAGCAGAGTCCATCTTGAAACACTTCAGTTACAGATGGTTACTCGCCTGTTTTCTGTAATCCAAAATAAGTGTTTAGAGCTGATGCTCAGACCTGAGGTTATTTGATGTGTTTCCTTTGCCGAAATAGCTGTTGAATGTTTCAGTACACTTCCAGTCATTTAGCACATCCATAGCGTCCCAAAAAGTGTTGTGTGGGTTGTAAGGAAGAACTTGCAGGCACACATAACTTCCATTTTTAGCAAGCTACAAAGATTTAAATTTTCCTTTAAAGGAGAAGGAAATTTATGATGAACTACTGCAAAAGTAAGTAGAATAATTTATATTTAGTGATTCCTGTAAATGGTAAATGCAACAAACCCAAGCATCTTAAGAACAATTAACAAAATTTAGTCATCAATCAAAATATGAAATGATAATATACTTATTTATGTTGTTAAAAGCTTTTGTCGTCTTGTGAGGCTAAAAGTGTGGAAAAGTTCTACTAGTCAGATTAACATGTTAGTCAAGAGTATTCTAAAATGAAACTTTTGTTGCTGTTGAGCTAAATTTATGTCCTCATCTTCTGAGTCTTATAAGGAGCGGATTGTAAATTAATCTCCTTTTCACTCTATAGGTGGCAGTAGTGCCAAAAGATTAAAGCCTGTCACTATCTTGGCCTTTTCAGAGGGGAAGGCTAGTCTTACTGTTTCTATCTAAACGCAGAACCCTCTGTGCTTAAGATTTTTAAAGAATCTGAGTATTGCCAGAATTATTAGGAACCTAAAACGTGGTTGTTCCCAACTGGTACTACAGCTTCTTCCACAGCCGTTAAATGGGAATTCTAAGAGTATGAAGTCACTAAAGCAGTTGGCAACCTTCTGATCATGCCAGAATATAAACAGTCACTGCTTCACAGAAAAATAAGGTTTTGAGGCTAGAACATTTGCTAAAAATTTTCTGTAACATTAAGATGTGTATGTAATTTTCACATTGTTAGGTGTTTTGAATGTTGTACTTGGCTTAGATAGGTGGTTCTGCAGAGCTTTTTTGAAATAGTTTGAGAGCAAAAAATCTTCTGATGGACCCCTCCTTGACCCTCCTGTTCCTTCCTGCCCCAACTTCTGTGGTGAAGACAAATAGTAATACTATTGTATTTCTTTAAAATGTCCATGTTGTTAAAATAAATATTGTAAAGGCTTGCAGCATTTCATCCTGATATTCTTTAAAGAAAAAAAAAAAAAGAAGAAAGATACTTTTAAAAAACGCTGTCAAAGTACAGCTTTATGTATGTTTACTTGTTAAATTTTCTTCATGTCACCTTTTATAGTGTATATTTTTATTTCTGTTGCAGTCTACCAGAATTGGAATGTCAGTGAATGCAATACGCAAGCAAAGCACAGATGAAGAAGTTACATCTTTAGCAAAATCTCTTATCAAGTCTTGGAAGAAACTGTTAGGTATGGCCACAGAAACTTCTTTTTCCCTGCTCTTGCATGTTTTAACTGTATGCAGTCTTGATGCGAATCCTTGACACTGCCTTGCTTTAGATATATTTGTGCTCCTGTGTAAGTATTGAAATTTCTGCACTGACATAGTTGTTTTTTACTCTTTGACTATCACCAGTCCATTACTGTGAAAGTGTATTCAGAGGAAAATGTTTAATATATTTTTTTATTGGGGCTGGCAAGCAGTAGGAAGCCAGTTTCTGCGACATGACTCATTTCTGAAGTCTTGTTGCCTGCTGTTGAGCTAGAGTGACTATACCGCACTACTAAGCGCTAACGATCCCGTTGACTATTTCCTTTGTCAAATATAACAGGTACTCTGAAGAACTTGTACACAATCTCATCTGAGAGTGTGGAGGCTTTGAAGTTTGGTTATAAAGTGGTTTCTGAGGAGAGGAAAAAAAACCTGTAAAAAATTGATGTTAAAATTCTGTTGGAATTACAGGTAGTGAGAAATAGAACTGCACTTTCTAAAGCCTTCGTAGTTCTAAAAAACTAATTTTTTGCTTAATTTCCCTTAAAGCAATGAAAGCAGTTAATGAAACCTTTATGTTAGCAGCGTTTTATTCAAGGGTATTTTGTAGTGCTTAATTTTAATGTAGTTGAAAACACTGGAATCAATCTGTTTCCAGGTGTTTTTGTTTGTACACTGTGCTGTACTCTGTTTCTTTGTATATAATTTCAGCTTACAATTTTGAAATAGAAACCAGTTTACATTATTTTCTACTGATTTAAATATTTGCCATTTTGTCTAGAAAAATATGCTAAATACCAGGAGGTATTAGAGTCCCCTGCCATTTGAGGTCAGCCTCATTTTTATCAGTTGTGAAGTATTTTATCAGATCCTTTATTACTCTTTTGTAAATGGTATAAAAATGACTTCATATCCATCTGATGGTATATGTATGTAGAAATGGACAATTTGTCACAGCTTGCAACTTCCAGATTCTAGTAAGAAGCAACAACCTCTACAGCAGACATTTTTTAACCTACCTTTAAAAAGTTAGATAATAGTAATTGGGTTAATTTTAGTAATTAAATGTAGATAATACTAGATATGCTGATAAAATGCTTTTTTAAACCATGATAATGACTTTTATTAGAAATTAAATGCATAGTTTGTAAAGGATCTGATCAGAGTTCACTGGTAAATAGTGCAAATTATGTACTATTTATGTTTAAATTTCCATTTAGAACTTGAAGTCCAGCTGTATTGTATACAGTGCATAAGTGGTAAAACTTTTGTGGAGTGGAGAAATGGACTTCCATATTAATTTGAGTTACTCTAAAAACTTATAAAAGCAGCAGCTGCATTGAGTGACCTAGCTCTCAAGTTATTAATCGAAGTTTAAAAAAAAAAAAAGGCCCTGCCAGAGTTTTGTGGGTTTGTTTTTGTTCCCCTCTAAAGATACTGCAACTTAGTTTAGGCAACCAAGTAGAGGAAATATGACACCCCCCAACTTCTGGGAATTCCCTCGGATACTCCTTTTTTTGCGGGTGGGGCAGCTAACCCTTCTGGATATCACTGTCCTTTGAGGAAAGAAATTGCTGTTTATTTGTTGAGAAAGTAAAAATAGTCTTCTGTCTCTCTTTTTTTTTTTTTTTAAAACACAGTATTATTAAGTCAGTCAAACTTGTCTTAATACATTGTTATTTATAGCTGACTGATCCTTAAGTGTTCAAACATTGTGAAACATGGGAAGTATTGTTCCTACCTAAGGACCAGAGGGTGTTCATTCTGTAGAAGTCTTGGAGTAAGACCATGGTGCCTGATGGTCAAAGCAGGTCAATCTGGGTGTAGGCTGCTGCTGGAAGGGGTGGCCCTGGCTTCCGTTCTGCATAGATGCCTCCTTGCTCCCTCCTGTGCTACAACTGGTGCTCAAGCGGCTATCCAGGAGACCAGAGCTGGGAACTGACCAGTTGGAAACTTAATTGTTTTGTTCATTTCTTCTGGCTTAAATTTCAACTGTATCAGTTTTTTGGTCCAGCCTGTTTGCAGTTACTGTTTCCTGCACAGGGATTGCTGCAGTAACATCCAGCTGGGGCAAGGTGGACCTTCCCCTTTTGATGGCTTGCTACATTCAGGTTGTTTAAAGACAGTTGGGAGACTTTACCTAAGGCTGCTTGCATCAGGTGAAGTCAAACATGTGAGGAACTGGAAAGTAAATAGCAAATATTTGACATGAATCAGAACTGAATACTTTCTTTTTGAGGACATGGGTGTGTGACCTTTGCTCATGCTCTAATTTTTCTTACAGGGCAGATATTATTGCATGTACATTATTGTGCCAGGTCTAGTATAGCTGTCATTGTGCACTTACTATTTAAAATCAAATTATTCCTGAAAATACAGTACTGCTTGTATTCAAAACTTACATAGTTAAATTCTCCTTGATGGTAATGTAGACCTTACAATGAAGCATAGTAGGGCAAATGTTTCACCTCTTGTTTCACTGCTCAGTAATTCATTAGAACTTAAAATCTCATAACTGGAAGATAGAGTATCTGGGCTGTGCAAAGTATGGGTGGGAGTCTTACAAAGTACTCTTATTCTGTTTTATCATTAGTTTTGACTTTCTCAGAAGAATACGGAATACCGTATGTTGAGCTGCTTGAGAAATCAGTTTCGATTATGCTGTTTATAGTGCATGTAAAATGGTATGGATCAAAGATGGCAACAGAAGCGGACAGCTGTTAATCGTACCAAGCATTGTACTCAGAGATCTGAAGTCTTTGTGAGTTATTTTTATAAATGACATTTTGAATTTAGGCGAAAATTGTTGACTGTTTAGGCTGCATGTACTGTTTAAGTTCAATGCTATCGGAACTTACATTTTAAGAATGCATGGGAAACATGACAAGAAATCAAAGTAAGGTTGTGAATCCCCAGATGTTTATGGCTTGACTAGAGCCATGCCAGGTTACCCACAGTGTTTCAGGGCGCTCAGAAACTGCCCAGCAGAGAGCTTGTAAGTGGTGTCTGAAGTGACTCACTCAGTGAGCTACAATGGAAGATTGCTTTCAGATGTTGCTGTAAGAATCTTAAACCACACAGCCGAGCTGGTCACAATTTACATAAGGAAGTAAATTCTGCTCTCAGAATAAAATAGTGTTCAGTTATAATGGGATTTGCAAATAAGGATTGTATTGCCAAGTAGCTGAGAATATAGAGTATGCTAGGCAGATAATGAATCCATGCATACCCATTTAGGTTATGAAGAGTGATCCTTTATATTGAAAAACAATTAAAAAAAAATCTTTAAGTAATTTAACGTTCTCCATCCCAAATAATTACTTACTGAACTCTGAGAGTATACATTGAAAAAGAATGTCCAGATCTCTAAGTAAACTTAACTCCAGTAAGTTTATGTACTGAACTGGAAATGCATTATGGTTGGACAATAATCTTAACATTAAGTGCAAGTGTGATCATCTATTGCCAGTATTAAAAACTAAAAATGGGGCCACAAACATTTTGAAATGCCTGTTTCAAAAAAGTGCATGCCCAAGTGATTTTTATTTTAAAAGACTGTTTAAGTGCTTAATGTTGTCAAGAGAAGATAATACCAGCCAGACTTCACAGAAGTGTTTTACTCCTATTATTTTGTTCATACAATCCTTTGTTACTTTGAACCTGGGTTTGATTCTGCTGGAGCAAGCAGGTACAGTCTAGGACTATTTTACAGGTATGTTAATTCTCTCATTAGGTAAAGCTGTTCAAGGACATCTAGTAACTTACTGGCTTTGCTCAAAAAAATTGTTATTGACAAAACAAGTTCTTAAATTACAGTCTAATAGTGTCTAAGTGTATTGTTTGCTATTGATAAGAAGAATACCTCCTGTCTTTATGATCTCAACTAGAATGAAGTGCAAAATAGTTTCATTTCCATAGCAAGTATCAGCTGTGGACATCACCTCCTGTCAAATGTATATTTGGAACTGTTCCATGTACAATTAATAGATCGATAACCCTAACAAATTATCAATGGAGAGATAATAACACTTGATGCAAATTCCATCGTACTGTATAGAAGAAACATGTATAGCAACAAAGTTACTGTCATGCTCTTTTGTCACTTATGATAAAAAAATCTTTAAAAATGGCGAACAGTTAATGATTTTGTTGTTTGTTTTTAGGGTTTAGATACTGTTCCTCCCTATGCTACTAGTAGGAAGAAGCTGTTCTGATTTTACTTTCATGTTTTTCTACATCTTGCAGAGGAATTGCTGACAAGTGTAGCTGCTTATGCATCTCAAGGTTATTTTGGTCAGGGTCTGGAAAATGGGGCCTAAAGAATTAATAAATATAAGGGTCACTGTTAAATTAAGGACTATGCCATCTGTTACCTGTTCTCATATCTCATTCCTTTAACTTACTTAAACTGAATACTCAGAAAGCTTTCTAAGTTTTGGTGGTGATATCTGAATCAGTAACACATGATAACCCACTAAATTAAATTCTCATGTGCTTCCAGAGAATAACTAGCCGTCTTTCATTAACATTGCTGAAAAACACTACATCTTTTTATTTTCTAATTTTTTTCTTGTTACTACCAAATGTCTTGACTTTACTTGTAATATACTTAGAAGAATCTACGATAAAGCAGTTAATGGCTTCTAACATTCAGATTAATTATGTTATCTCTGGCTATATATTATTACATTAAAAATTTTGTTCTGGTAACAAAGAACACTGTCATGTCATGTTTTACCCTGGAGAGATTATTTCACTGGAAATGGTAGAAGTATCTTTCAAATTAATTGCAAGTCCCAGACAGAAACTGCAATGCAGTAGTCAGAATTTGGTAGTCTTATTCCAATGGCTAATAACCAATTCATGTTACTAGCTTGTTCTTTGTATTTTAAAGAAGCATTAATACAGATTACTCTGTTATTTAAAAAAAAAGCTTAAAGATTTTTGTATGACTTTCTGAAGCTGCAGTAGCTAGAACTGTGAAGCTACACTTTTCAATCCTAAAATTGATGGCAATTTCAACTTGTTTCTGAAAAAAGTTTCGGTGAGTTTTAATAGCCATATGAAGTTGAAAAAGTAATTGTGCCTCTTTAAAGCAACTTGTAAATTACATTATATAAATATTTTTATGTTCTATAGTCTTCCTGATGTGAATCACTTGCTCGTTGGAATTTTTAAATATCTTTCACAGAAGGGCCATTTTTTCCATCTTTCTTTGTTAGAATTTCTGTAGTTCGTTGTAGTTCCCATTAGCTGTAATTTTTCCCTTGCGTTAGAGTCTGGCCCTTGAAGGTAAAATAGGTTAATTTTAGGGACTTGTTGTTTACCTCCTTTGGATATTTTTTTCCTTTCCCCAGAGGATAGTTGAAATTCTGTCTAGCAGGCTGTTAATTGCATTCTGTTCCTTTGGTAATACAGTATTCTAATAAAATAAGGAAACTTTATTAGTGTGAGTTTAAGAATAAATACTGCTTGACACTGGATCTCCTTGCCTTGGTGCTCTCCATTTTATGATCCATAAGTGAATGACTTAAACACTTAGGAGAATATTTTGAGCAAACAGAGAATATTGTTAATATTGTTAACTTTATTCTCAGATTTCTGAAACTGGATTAAACAGAAGTATCTATAAACTCTTTAAGTGACTAAAGAAATTGTAGTTTTGAAGACATACTTGCTAAACAGGGTCCAGTTGTCTCAGCTGCTGAAGTTTGACCTTGGTTTGAGACATGCTTGCCACAGACTGGTCTGCATATGTAGGAAGAGCTATGCTTTTACCTCTTGCTTTATCCCCATGCCGCATGTAAACGCTGCCCTCCGTCAGCGAAAGAAGCAATCGGGGTATCCCTGATGTTCTCAGGTGCCTGCCTTCTCTGATGAAATGGTTCTGAACTAAATGGAAGTGTTTGAAAAACTAGAACTAGGTGACAGCTATACCATAGCAGTGTATTTGATGCAAAATAAGCAGGAGATACCTAGGTCAGCTCTGAATTTGACAACTTGTGTGCCAGAAAAAAATATGGAGGTAAATGGGTTGAAACAGAGCTCAGCTCTAAGGCTGCTTTGCTGAATCTGAGCTAAACCCCAAGATACCTGTTTGGTCTATCAGTTTGTCTTAAAGCCTCTGACAAAAATGATCATGTACTTAAAAAATGATGAGGGTAAATGTGACTACATACATATTCAGAATATTTTTTAAAAATTATATGTCATGTAAGCGTTTGTTGCCATAGAGAGTAGTCATGTGAATATGCATGTTAAAAATGGGATTTATTTTCTTTTTCTGAGTATGGTGCACTTTAGGTGTCATAGCAAAGAACTGTGATCTATTCAGTTTTATAACCTTGTTTGCTTTCTTAGTGAAATTACTTTTTTATAAATAATAGTTGATTGAATTGATATCTTTATTGGGATTTTTTGAATAGTACAGTTCATTAAAGACAGTCGGTCTGGGTGCATAATCTACTGTGTTTAACTTTCCTTTTTTTCTTTAATGGAGAAATTTATCAAGGATTGAATACAAACAATGGGTGAGGAAATCACTAGAGCTTTAAGCTCTTGAAGGCTGGGGAAATATTCTGGAAAAGTATCTTTGTGGGCTTGCCTGGTTCCTGTACTGTTTTGTAGGCATCTTTTTAGGTACAGCTGGAGACAGGATAGTAGATGGGTGCTTGGTCTGATCCAGTATGGCTGTCTCTGTGGTCTCCTTTTATGATGATGATTTTTAAACAAAGTGATATTAACTCAAAAGTTAAGGAAAGGATCAAAATCCTGTTCAGTTTAATATATTTTCTGTACAGCTTTGAATGTAAATTTTTTTCTATTTAAAAATAAGTCAGTACAGTACTTTTCCACCCTCTGGGGAGGGGGGGAAAAAAGTTCAGTGCTTGAATAAGAGACCTGAATTTGTGTGTTCCATACCACCAAGTTCCCCTGAGCAATGAGGAGATGGGGCTTTTCTGGAAATGAGGGTACTTTTAGATGTTTAAGCAAGGATTTAGATGCCTAGTTGAGGACATCTTCATGGGAAAGACTGAGCCTTATCAGATTTCCTTCCTTTTCTTGATCTGTTTTTAGTTCTTTGTAAAGTTTGCAATATGTCCTTATCCCAATAATATAGTCTGTGAATTTAGAAGTGTAATGGCAGCTCTATGAGGGCTTAGAGAGAGGAATTCACAAAATCTAACTGTCGGTGAGTGATACCAATCTCACTAGGCTTTCTCTGTAGGCAGTGGAGAGAGTCAGCCTTTCTAGAGAGCACATCAAAGCAGTAGCTCGATTTAGCCGCTCTGAATGCACTTTACAATGGAAGGGTGTATGTATTCTTGCTAGGCTAAAGTTAAATGTTGTGATTTTCCTTTTTAATAAAGGCTTTCATCATTCTTTATAAAACCATTAAATATAGCCTGTATAGGAAAAGCAAATTAAAATATTTTTAAACACTAGGGCAAATAATTTAAAAGCTATCACAGAAAATACTGTGTGTCTGGAAAACTCCTTCAAAAGCATATGAAAACAATCTTTATATTTTTTGGCAACCATGCTAGCTTTCACACCACAGTTTCATTTGGTTCAGTCCTTTGGTAGCAAATTCCATGAATATAATTAAAAGAATGACATGTATTTAGTAGCAATTTATGTAAAACATGGATGACAAACTCCAGAGACCTGATGTGGTAGTTCTATTGTCTACCTCATGCAGCGGAGTTGGCAAAAATAAATCATAAAAGTCTACGTTTTCATCATGTCTTCACTGTCAGTTTAAGCAGATGCTGGACTTGACTCGAAGGATCTGAAGTGTTGTCATATTTTCTGTTTGCTGGGTTGGGGAGGGTGTTGAGGAGTGGAAGGCTGTACTGCAATAGAAGGTCAGAGCAGAGAGTGGGAGCTGATAGCATTTCCAACTGGTTCAGGAGAAATCATCAAATATATTTTACACTGCTTTAAATCAGTTACTATTTCTGGGTAAAGGAGTTTCTTATGTTTTGTGTTTCTAGATGGACCTTCAACTGATAAAGATTCTGAAGAAAAGAAAAAGGAGCCTGCATCTTCTTCACAAAATAGCCCTGAAGCAAGAGAAGAAAGGTGCTTAATTCTTCATGATTATACAAATAATCTCACTTGGTATAAATTAACTTTAAACTATTTGGTCCAAATTTGTCATATTAGAGATAGCTTCCATATTCTTCTGTGAAATACATAGAGTTGTACAAGAAATGGTGTGGTGTGAGGGAATTAAATCCTGCTGCTGCTGACATTGAAAAAAGATGATAGCCCCAGGTCAAGGTATGGCCAGACTAGCTATTGTTTATTTCATCTGTCTGGTCTGTCAAATGCTCCTTCCTCTCCCAATATTAGCACTGAGCTTTGAGAACTGTAAAACAACTTTCAGTCACAGCTTTGTGCTAATTGCATGTGTTAGAGGTTTGGAATACTTCTGTTGTCCATTAGCTTTTATGTTTAATACACAATGTCATTCTGTACTTTTTTTTTTTTGTAAACACAAAATACATGTTACCAGAAGAATGAGCTCATGTTAATGATACTATAGGAGCTGAAGAACACTTGCAAAATAGTATCTGCAAGCCCATTTCTTCTATACATTTATGGTTTAGTGAATCTGTTTCCAGCAGCCATTTTCAAATTGAAATTTAACCTTTAACCACTTGTCCTCATGCAAGCTGAAAACATTTTGGTTTAGTTTGCAAAGGTGCATTAATTATTTGTGATCGTAGTATCACTTCAGTACAGTAAGCAGACTGAATGCAGTGCACTCACTGCAGACTGAATGTTAGTGTGATATATCATCACTGTTTTTTAAAGTTAAGTTCCATGGGGGGAAAGAAAAGATTTCACATTAACATAGAGAACTGAGAATTAAAATTTATATGCCACATAATGGATTCAAATACCTGCTGTGTCCCTATCGTGTGGAATATCCTGGTGAATATTGTAAAGACACCTCTAAAATTGTATTGGCTCTAGAGCTATAAGTATTTTTAAAAAGGTGGCCAGTGTCTTTTTTTTTTTTTTTTTGTAAGACCTGTGTTTTGCCCTGGAACAGTTATTTGAAGAGGGTGAAAAAACACTAATACTAGTTTTCTTTTTGCCTTTTTTTTTTTTTAGCAGTTCAAGTAGCAATTCCAGCAGCAGGAAGGACGAGGGTAGTGCTTCCTCAAATTCTTTCATCCCTTCTTTTCCCCGGGCTCCAAGCACTTCGGATTCTGTACGAGTGAAATGTAGAGAAATGCTCTCTGCAGCTCTCAGAACAGGAGGTGAGCTTTGTAGACTGTATTTTCAAGTTTAACTATTTTCTTCTTCTCTACTTCAGTCCTTCCCATTTTATTTTTCTCCTGCCCCATAGGGTAGAGTAAACTCTGTTTATGTCCATTTGTGTGTATATACCTATAGGCCAGTTCACCCAAGTTGCAAATAATGAGTAATCTTGACAACATGGGAATGTATTGAAATACATTTTTGTTGCTGGTGATATGGTACATTTTGTGGCTTCTGTTTATCTTGCCTACAGTGGAACTTCTTTTCAGGAAGGTTATTGCGTCCTTAATGCTTCACTCTTTGGAAGCTGCTTTTTTTTTTTTTTTTTCCTCTTACCTCTGACTGAGAGTGCCACTATATACATGCCTGCCTGCCTTACACCAGAGATCCTGTGGGCTTTCGGATTTTGGGTTTTGAAGGCTGCCTTTCTGTTTTCATTTAATCTTCAAGTTTCATTGAGATACTCGCAATAAGAGAGACTTATATTGCTTTATCTTCATGCCTTTTGGGCATCTGTAATTTCTTTGACTGTTTTGGGTTTTTGTTGTGTGTGGATTTTTTTTTTTCTTTTCTCCCCTCCATGTACACTTAGGTGTCTTTAAACTGACAAATTGAATGATAGACTAGATAAGGAGCAAACTAAAAGTTGGACTTCTCAGAATGACCTGAAATTTTGCTTGTGGACCCTTCTCTTCTACCAGCACTTATACCCAACTCCTGTTCCTCTGTTCTTAGTTTAGTGTAACCTAACCCAGTGTAAGCAGACTTCTGAATCATCCATTTTTACCCTCTTCACCCTTCTGTTCTTTCTTTCAATTCACATATATTCAGATACAGACAGTGATCAAAGCTGACTAAAGACCATGAATTTGTGGTCTTCTGGATAGTTGCATATTAACATTTTAGTATTCATAATTCTATGTAGTCTTAATTTCAGCTAGTTTTCCAAGAACTTTTTGTTACGTTACTTTGTACAGCATGTATAAACTGATCATCCATGGGTTGAATGCTAGCCTCAAAAAATAAGGTTATTTTCTGTTTTTATGGTCTTCTGCATGAGATTGAAGGAGAAATGGTGTTTAGATTACTCATTGAAGTACACCCATGTTAAAATGAGAAGGAGGAAAGCACACACTGTATCTAATTTGTCCTAAGCTATCTTGGAAAGGCAACTTGTCATTATGTGTAAGGGTTTTGGTCAGAAACAGTAAACAATTATCTTGAGATGTTTTAGGTCAAGGTGTTGCATTGTCTTCAAGATTGCTATGGTTTATTTCTTCTAATTTACATGTTTTATGATACATCTCTGCTTTGCATTTTTTAAAATATCTAATAATATTGTTTCTGTTACTTAATTACTATGTTTCTAATGGAATCTTTCTCTTGCATGCATACAAAACATTAATTGCTTATGCATGTGTTGTGTGGACTGGAAGAATTGATGAAACACTATACAAAATGTTTTATGATAGTCTATTCTATGCACAGATATGCTGTGGAGATGGGTATTTGCCAAGCCTATTAGAATATTTAAATTTTTTCTGTATAGCATAATGTAACTACTTGTGTTTGCAACTAGATGTCAGAATTGTTGGTTTTTTGAAAGATTTAGGGTCGTTCTACTTTTTTAAACTTAATGTTGCTGTTCATTTCGCTTATTTTTGTTCCTCCAAGTAACAAGTTAACAAAGTTTTGAAAGGATAAGTATACAGTAAATTAAAGCTTTCTATACAAGAGGAAAATTCACTGCAGTTGTTTAATTTGCTGAGTTTCAGAGTTTTGAATGGATTTTCAGGGATATAGAACACTGATGAGATTGTCAGATTGCTAATGTTTTAATATTTGTTTTCCTCAGATGATTACATTGCTATTGGTGCTGATGAGGAAGAGCTGGGTTCTCAGATTGAAGAAGATATCCTTTGTTGTACATCTACATGCTCTAGAACAAGAGTATTTTTTAAAAGCATTGATAATATTAAAATTAATTGATCTATATATTGAATATTTAAAACTTCATTTAGAACAAAAATAGCAAACTGTTCCATACATCAGTGTAGAAATTCAGTGTTTAAAAAACCAGCACAATCTAAATGATTTGCCTTAAAACATGTAGGAATGTGTGTAGGTGAGTGTGTGGGGTTTTTTTTCAGTTCGGTGTGTTTTCCTTGCAGCAGCAATATTATATCTCACTGAAGCATTCTGACATAAAATGCTGGGCTCTTCTATGTTATTTTTAAATGTTGTTTCTTTTTTTAACAGTTTTAAAATTTTTTTTCTGATGTCTGTATTTCATTTTCTACAAGTTTATTTCTAAATGAATTTGGAATTTTCAAAAGGGTTGTTCTTGTATAAGTGTTTGAATAGTTACAAGAGCAGAGGTCTGGGCTGCTTTTTATTTTAGGTTTGTGTGTGTGGTTTTTTTTAGGTGTATTCCTAAGCCTAGAAATAGTCTAAGTTTCATGGTTTGAACTTGTTACTGTCCTTTGGTCATTACAGTCAGCCACCATTCCTGGGGAGTTTTCTGTTTCTGTTGCACACCTGTTTTAAACTTCTGTTAGTGAGCTGCCAGTGTTTGCATATTTGGTTTAGAAACAATTAATCCTCAGGATTAATTATGTATGAAGGAATAAAGTATGAAGGAACTGGACATAAATTTATGGGTGACTTTTCACAATTTCAGTTGAGATCCTACTACCCGAAAATTCACGTTTCACTGACCAAGTATACTTAGGTTTCAGAAGGACGTGAAGCCTGCTGTTTTGGATGGGAAAGTTGGGGTGGGGGGAGAGGGCTTGACCAACAGTGGAGAAGTACATTGCTTTAGAAAAGTTCCCCCCAAAAATGAATCCTTTGTAGTCCTCTGATTTACTTGTTAATGTTTTGTTCCTTAAATCCAAAGCACCTATTTTTCAAGAATTAAAAAACACTGATATGAAATACAAAAATAGGGTACGAAGTAGAATAGCTAATCTCAAGGATGCAAAGAATCCTAACCTAAGGAAAAATGTGTTATGTGGGAACATTCCTCCTGACAAGTTTGCCAAAATGACAGCAGAGGTAAGTACAGCGTAAGTCTTGAGCTATTTTCTTATTGGACTTACATCCTGTCCTGTATTTATTAGCCGTAAAAATAACTTATGTAAAGCTGCCTGTGCTTTTGAAAGACTGTGGCCTGTTTGTGGCTTGCACAGTCTAAATTAGACCGGGCTGTGTTGAGACAGAGGGAATGACAGTAGTGTCTCTTAATGCTTCCTAAATACCTGATTTTGTCTGTAAGTCGGAAGGCAAGTAAGCTGTTGTATGTAAATTTCCTGAATGCAGTATGTTGGGCTGTTTTTAAAAGGCCACATGATGTATTGGTGATAGTTTAAGTTTAGGAAGATGTAAATATGTCTGGCTACTGGCTCCAAGCTGCTTACTGATTCACCTTTCTGCGTATTTAAGTGTTAGCCTGTCTTGCCGTTTGTTTTTGAAACACTAACCTCTGCTGTTATACTCCTACACAGGGTATAGCACTGTGGTTTTAAAGATCAGTCCCTCTCCTGTTGGCAGTTCAGTGTTTATTTAAAGCTTATCTCAAATTTGACAGAATACTTTAAATTATTTTGAAGGGCACTCTACAATAAGTAGAAAAAGCCATAAATCATAGGGGAAAGAATCTGGGAGAATTGCCCTTTACATCAAATTAAATTTATGCTATTGAAAGAACATTTTAGACACTTGAATAGAAATTCCCATTCAGATGCTCACTGTCTTTACGAATCAAAATAAATCCAGGAAGTCAAACGAAGATAGATTTTTATGTGAGACAAAAATGAAAGTGTGGTTAACATCTGATTTCAGTTTTTTAGTTCTGCTTGTGTGTGCTGGATTCTACCCCCTGAAATCTGGTATAAAGGAGTATCTTGGAGACTGAAAGAAATTAAATTTATGATCAAGTAATGAAAATCATGATTAGCTTTATTCTGAACGAAAATTTTCTCATTGGGTTCCCCCTCCAGCTTTACGTAAAGGTTAGGGCAAACAGAGGCTGATAAAGGAATGTGTAAAGAAAAGTAGATTGTATCTTCAGTTCATATGCTAAGTTTTTTTTGTTCTACATGTATGTACATATGTACAAACATATGTTTTGTGTTGTCCAGTGCCCATTTTTTGTTTTAATTAATGTCTTGGATTAAAATTTTAATGGCTAAATTACCCCTTAGTGTTAAGACTACTTCTAAAATGAAACAGCATTAATACAAGATTTGCATTCCACATCCACATGGGATGTGGAGTAAAACTTTATTGAAGAAAAATGGAATAACTTGTTTTTGCTGTGCATGCCTGATTACTGTACATTCTGGAGATCTGCACAGTAGAACTGTTTTAAAGGAAAAAGAAAATTGGTGAATCTGAGTTCTTTGGTTAGTGTTTTGAAACTAAGAGTATATGACTTCTGGTAACATACGGTAAATTATGGCTCTACTGTCTTTCTCAGTACAAATATGGAAATAGTCAAAATAGTGTAAATTTCTGCTATAATAATATTCTACAGGTCCATGAAATAATTATGCAAGGATCTAACCTAGGGAGAGGATCTTTTTTTCTCCTCTAGAGAACTTTTAAGTCCTACTCTACCTTGTCTCTGTTATATTTATGAAGTTCAGAAATTCTTTGCATAGAAATATTTCTAGGTGTTTGATATTGTAACTTTTACTGACTTTTTCTTCCCAACTGCGTAGGAAATAAAAGGAATGTTTTTAATTTTTTGTAGCTTCTGTGCTGTGAAATATCCCAACTTAAGTCTTGTAAAATTAAAAATGTGTAGAATTACTTTGCCCTTCAATAGAGTTGTTGTTCATGGATTCTAAATCAAAAATGGTATGTACTCGCACAGTGGTAATGACTTATTTAAAGCAAAAGCTCTCTAGTAAAGTCTCTCTGCTTTTTGTCCATAACAGGAAATGGCAAGTGATGAGCTGAAAGAAATGCGCAAAAATCTGACCAAAGAAGCTATCAGAGAGCACCAGATGGCTAAAACAGGAGGTACCCAAACTGACCTGTTTACGTGTGGCAAGTGCAAAAAGAAGAACTGTACATACACCCAGGTACATGGTTATTCAGAGTCTTCGTTTTCCTTTTTCAAAGCTTAAGTCCTGTATAAAGATTGTCAGAGGACAAAAAGTTTTAAGTAAAAAATGAACTTTTAACAAAATGCTAACAAATCACAAAATGTGTGAAGATAGTTGGATCCATTTAGGTGTGCTTATGTAAAGAATGTTTGTTGTATTCATTTACCAAAGATTTTATGTAAATCCAAGCTGAGTATCTATAAAGCCTGAAACATCAGTTTCTTTGCAATGCTGAGTTTTTGCTAATCCTTCTTATTACGTCTTATTAATATGGTTTTTAGGAGAGGGAATTTACTGTTTTTAATGTCTGTAAACTTTTCTTTACAGAGGGAATAAATAGCAGAAAATAATGATACATACATATAAAATATATATATTTATAGGTATATAATCTACCATCTGCCTGACACTAGACCCTGATTTACAATCATTGCTACAACCTTTTTTTATTTTAATTAGGAAATATGTGCAATAAGAAGGGCTTTAATTTGTTTTGCAGTGCTTCAGAGCATGTAATTTTGATCAAAGGATCAGCTACGTTTATTGTTTAATATTGTCTGTCAGATACTTTAAGTAGAAAGCTGTTTTTCAGTCATGAGACTTTTAAGCCTTTGCATCAGTCAATGTATGTAAAGCTGTACTGAACGTGTAGTTTTACTGCAGAATCTTTTCCTAGAAGGATGTGCACAGTTTGTATACTGAAATTGATATTTTAGTGCTACTAAATCTGTCAAAACTAAGTTTATGATCGCTTCATAGTATAGACAGAAAAAGTTTCAATTGGTATGGAAAGTTCACTTGTAATTTTATCGAAATGTGTTTCCTTAATGTTAAACTTTGACTTTAAACCTTTACATTGAACACATACTAACAAAAGTTGAAGATCGTAATTGTCCTTTTCTGCTCTGGCTCTTGCCTTTGCCAAAGGTTCAAACCCGCAGTGCTGATGAACCCATGACAACGTTTGTTGTCTGTAACGAATGTGGAAACAGATGGAAGGTAAGACTGTTAGACTGCTTTGCATATTTGATAGCCGACAGCCAGGCTCTGTGCTTAATTTCGGTTTACAGTAAATGACAAATGAGTTTCTGTTGACTTCTGGTTATTTCTTAGCCCATTAATGATATTACATGTTGATATTGCAAATAGCTTTAGGTTAGAAAAGTATTTTGGATTGAAGGTGTGAGGTTGCACGAGTAGGATGGTGGCAAAGTGGGAAAGACGTCAGGACATTGACTTAGTCCTTGTGATGTTTAGTTACAATACTGCTTTGCCATACAAAGTAGTGGCAAGTTAGTCACTCTTTTATCTTTCTTTACTCAAAGATATTACAGTTATTTTTACTCTCTGCTTTGATGAGTGAAGTAGGCCTTTTTAACCTTTTGTTGGGTTTTTTTTCTGGTTTTTTGCTACTCTGAAAAGAAGAAGGGATAAAAGTGTGGAGCAGTGATAACTTGATTTTAATTTTTTTTTAAGTTCATGAAATGGGAATTATTAAAGCTTCTGAGGAACGCTGATAGACCAGTAAAGTGGAGAAACACTGAAGTCCTGTAAAATTTACAACTTAAGATACGATAATATGCAATATGAAGCATGATACCCTCATTCTGTTATTTCTCTGTGTTAAGAATGCTGCATCTCTGCAGAACCATGTTGCACAGCATTAAAAAAAATACTTTTATGCATCTTGTTTTAAATATCTTATTACTGAATATTGTTCAAATACCTATGCTCCAAGATATATAAATAATTTATAAAGCTTAGAAATTGTGTGATGCAGTACCTGGAAAAGTTGTCCTTAAAACCTTCTGTAACATGGTGGTTACAAATGGGTCCATATAAGGATGCTTGAGCGAAGGAATGGTTATGATATAAGCAAATGCTTTAACTATTAATTTCCATATCCTAAGCATGGTGTCATATTTCTGTTTCTTCTTGCAAAGATTTAGAAATAAGTTGTATGAAGAGCTCATGAAAATTCTTTTCTTTTGACAGTTCTGTTAGAAGAAGAAATTGTCAAGACATCTGGACCAGTATGAAAGAGGATTTTGTAATTAGCTTTAAAAACTAGGCTAAGCATCTAGCTTCTTGCAAATGAGAGTTTTTTTTGGTTTTGTTTTCTTCCCCCCCCGCCCCGAGCAGCATACATGCCTGAAGTTAGCCTTTGTTTTGACACAAGCATCATTTCCTTAAATGCCTTCCTGTAGCTGATGGCCAGTAGGGCCAGGTTGCTCAGTTGTATGGTGAATGTTAAAATATTTTTTCATTTTTATAAGTAAGTTGACATTAAACTTTTACCAATTAAACATTTTGGTAATTGGCTTGTTTTTTTTCTAACTATGTGAATAATGCACTGTATTTTTTGTGGTCAGAAACGTACACACTCCTCCCGTATGTATTTTAGCTCTTCACATTTGTTCAGTTGTAAGAATGGAATTTGTTTCTTGCTGCTGTGTTAATAGCTTTGCAAAGAGAAAAGGTATCTGACTTCATCTAATTACATTAAACTCAGTTGTTAACTAAATCACAATTTAGTTAACTCTCTAGTTTGTCTGTACTGTTTCTGAATTAGGACTAAATTTGTGGTCGTGGAGTTTGGAAATTTATTAGTGGATGTGATGACCTTTTTTGCAATGGCTGGTTAAGCTTGTTTACGTAACCAGCTTCAATCAATACAATATATTTTATTGCCCAAAGCATGTATTTTACATTCTTATCAGTAGGTATCATTTCTAGGAATGTCTTAAAATAGTCAGTTAAATCTGATTTGAGTGTTCAGTTTTGCTTAATGTGCTTGATGACCAAGTTTGGTTTACAACTTGTAAATAAGCAAAGACATTGTGTTGTAGGCTGTCCTAATAACACCAGCTAACCAATTCCTCACAATATAAACTGGCTGGGAAGTAATATTACGTTCACTTCCTATAAATGGCATTAATTTTGTTCATGACCTGAATTTTGAGATGTAGAGTATCCAATGTCAGTCATAGACCTGCAGGTGAGAATAAATTGTTAAAGTTACAGTCTTTTCCATCTGTGGAATGATATAAATACTGCTTTGTTACAGCCTGCTTTTTAACAGTGCACATGTTTTAGAAGTATTTTTAAATGTGTTTTCAAGGAAAAACATGACAGCATCTTTCATTGTATCTAAATTTATATTATTTAATTTATCGAAGCCTGGGGCTGAGCGGGTTAATCCTGGCAGTGTATAAAGGATTCATGTGCAGCTCCTGGAGAATATATTCCTGGACTGTAAAGGAAGAAAAAGATTTTCTATGTTGAATATTTTTTGTGTGATGGTGGCAATCGTAACAAATGAGTTGGAAATAGTATGATGACACTTGAGCTTTGCAAGACAAGAAGTGTTTGGTAAATACTTTATAGAGCAAGCTTTTCCAGTCAGCTTGTGCAAGAAAGGAAAAGTAGCTTTTTCTGCTGAAAGGAAAAATGATTAAAATAAAAGAAGTTTAGTTACAAACATTTTTTTAGGCAGAAAATTGTTCAGCATTTAAAATTTCTTGTATAACTTTATATAAAAATGTTTTAAATTCAATTTATTTTATATTAATGGCCTAATTCAGAAAACATTTTTTTCTACTAACAGAATGGGCTTATTTTTAGCCTGTGTGTAGGTCCTTTTGGCAGGATTACTTCTTAAGAGTTACTTAAAGATGCATCATTGATTTTTCTTTTTTCAGATTAAGACAGCAGCAAACTAATGCTAGACACTTAATATCAATTGAAGTGCTTTGTTTGGAGACCTTTGTAAAAGAACCTGTCCAAAATTACTGCAAATTGGATGCCAAGTAGACCTAAATTTCTGCTGCTGTTCAGAGCATATATACAGGGTAGGCACAGGTTGGTTTGCATAACCATCCTCATGCTATGCATCCTGTAATCTTCATGCCTGACTGTGACACTTAGGAAAATTTACATTTTGAGAAAATACTGTTACTTTCTTTCTGTACTTACCGAATTGTATCTGGACTTTATTTAAAGAAGTAGAACTGTGTTAGCGCTTTTTGTGATGTAGGTGTGTCCAAGTAGTTCAAACAAAAGTGTTTTGCCTAATGTTACCTTATGGCAGTGGCAGCAGCCTTCACCCTTTCTCCTCTGTCTCTGAGGTAAAAAAAAAAAAAACAGTTTTTTTTCTCACAGTGAAAGATTAAGTCCAAGAACTAGATCCAAAAAAGATCATAGGTGTCTAAATTCTGTTCATGCTTCATTTTGGTTACCCAAATCCAAAAAGAAAAGTGCCCAGCAGTGAGTTTTGGATGCATCTCTGTTCAACAGGTGCTGCAGTTTTCCCAGTTGTCTGAAATTGTCCTCCTGTTGGAGGGGATGCGAGGTCTGAAGGATGTATAGGCGAAGGATGTAGAGATGGGGCTGGGACCATACCTCATTTCCCCAGCTGTCGGGCTTACCTGCTGAGCTGCAGTCGTGCTACAACTGACCCAGTACGTTCAAACATTTTATGCAGTGAAACATGCTGGCAGAACTGGTGATGAATCTCTCCCATACAAGAGTTGCAGGTTTGTTTATTACCTTTATGGGCATTTGAATCCTCTCGGACAAAAGAGAGACTGGAACATAGCTGCCCTACAGCTTAAGCTAGTTTTTTGCACTCGTGTGGTAGAGGAAAAGAGGGGGCCATGTTCCTTATAAAGTGTGTGTGTGTGTGTGATCTTTAAGGATGCCATCTTTCTTCTCTAAGGAAGGCTAGGGGTTTCTGCTACTTGGAAAACACAGCTTCTGGATCCTTAGTTAGAAGGCATTTCCTCATAGATAATTCTGTTAACTTGCTCAGGAGAAAGTATGAGGTTTAAAATATTTCATACTGAATGCGTCTCTCTGACTAGCGATAAGCAGAAGGTAAATATCTGCTTCCTGATCTGGGCTTTTGTGAGTCCCACTTTGAAGCCCTATTGCACTTTCCAAGCATTGCGAAGGAAGTGCCTGTTTTT